AGGTGGGGGAGCAGGCTGGGGGGCGGGAGCTGTCAGGAGCCCTCCCCATCAAGCAGCTGCTTTTCTGCCACCTGTGCTCCCGGGCGCAAAACTCTTTTTCTTCGGTCGGACTCTTTGGTAAAACCAATAGTGTGAAGCTGTGCAGGGTTTGGGTTTTTTTGTTGTTGTTGATTTTTGTGGGGTTTTGGTGGTTTGTTTTTATTTTGTTGGTTGTATGTACCTTTTAGAGGGTGCTTTGGAGCACCAAGGGATCTGCATGGTTTGGGAGGTCTCAAGAGGAGATACGAGGGCTTAGCTATGCGCGTCTTCATTCAAGACACAGCTGCAGTACAGTAATCAATTTTAGATAGCTGGGGGGAGAAGGAATTCTTCATATTTAAACATAAAAGCAGAAAACATTGCCTGGTCCTTCTTGATGAACCTGCATCTGTTTTGAGAAAACAACGACTTTTTCACAAAAATGTTCTGGACCTGATTTTCCTCTGCCTTGGCCATGTGCGGGCACTGACAGCAGTGTAAAGTTTGGTCGTTCCAATTTGGTGTTGGTTTACATCCCACCTCACACAATTTTGGGGGGAAATACCCCAAAGCGTGTTGTGGAGACAGGCAGGAGAGCCTGAGTCTGGAAGGATGTCTGAGGTGATGCTTTAGCAAGCGTTTAATCGGTGGCTGTGCTAGGGAGAGACTCTGCTGCCCCATGCGTTCCGTTGACTTGTGTAGCTGCACAGTGAATGGGAAATCGATTTGGTTGAAAAAACCTAATTTACAGCTTTTTGTTTGTGGCCGTACTGATGTGTGACTAGGAGCATTCCTTGTGCACTGTGTAACTTCATCAGTAGGCTGTATGACTGAAGATTTAGTACAAGGATGAAAGAAGGAACTGGTATTGTAGCACATGTGTTTAGCATCAAAGTCCTGGTTTGATTCAGCAGCCGTGTGCACTTCGGAATGTTAAAAAATAATATGCGTTTTTCTTTTACTAGCCTGCAGTTGATGCAAAATGAGTGTTCCCGACTACATGCAGTGTGCTGAGGATCATCAGACTCTCCTGGTTGTGGTTCAGCCGATTGGCATTGTACCCGAAGAGAGCTTTTTCAGGATCTACAAGCGAATTGCAGCAGTGAGTCAAGTTAATGTGCGCGACTCTCAACGTGTGTTGTATATCCGTTATAGGCACCATTATCCCCCAGAGAACAATGAGTGGGGGGATTTTCAGACACACCGGAAAGTCGTGGGGCTGATAACTATTACGGACTGTTCTTCTGCAAAGGACTGGCCTCAGACTTTTGAAAAATTCCATCTTCAAAAGGAAATGTATGGTTCTACTCTCTATGATTCCCGGTTGTTTGTCTTTGGGCTTCAAGGAGAGATTGCAGAACAACCCCGCACAGATGTGGCGTTTTATCCCAGTTATGATGAATGTGAAACTGTGGAGAAGAGAATAGAAGATTTTATCGAATCCCTCTTCATAGTGTTGGAGTCTAAGCGGCTTGACAGAGCCACTGATAAGTCTGGAGACAAGATCCCGCTCCTCTGTGTTCCTTTTGAGAAGAAGGATTTTGTAGGTCTGGACACCGATAGTAGGTAAGCAGCTATTTTTGTCAGCTCATGGGTCTGGAAAAAAAGTACGTGGCAACTGCTTGCCTCTAGAATAAGCCTATCAGAAAGGACAAAGCGTACTTTGTTACAACAAAGGTCATGCCCCTATCGTATTGTGTATGTCTGCTGTAATTTAAGAGAATTTAATTTGTACGCTGACCCCATTTGATGTTTTGAGTTTATATATATGTATATATAATTTATGAGGCTAATCAAATAGTAGGAAGAAGTGACAGGAGAGGTCTGGCAGATTCTGCTATAAAGAGACTTTTTGCTGGAAAGCTTCAGTGGTTTATAGATATACAGTATTAATAAAGAAATTCAGTTAACATCGATGAAAAATAATTTTATATTATGTTGAGTAGTATTTGACTAATCCTACTTACTGTGTTTTTTTTTTTCCCTCAAGCCTCTGTCTTAACTTTTCATCCAGTGAAATAGTGACTGTTTATTTTGGTGAATAAGTTCAGGGTCTTTCC